AGGTAGCGTCCTTGCTCCTAGTAGTAAGGCCAGGAGCCCCTAGTAGCATTCTTGTTCCTAGTGGTAAGGCCAGGAGCCCCTAGTAGCGTTCTTGTTCCTAGTAGTGATGCCAGGACTCAGGAGCCCCTAGTCGCGTCCTTGCTACTGCCCCTAGTAGCGTTCTTGCTACTAGTAGAAATTGACATCGTTTGAAATCCATACGCAGCATGTAGATGCTTTACACCAAGTGAAATGAGCCGATTTGGAGGAGCTTGTAGACGCGTTGCCGAACTTCGAGTATGACGCCTGGTTTATTCCCATTAACGGTGCACCTCGCATGCATGGAGTGTGGAGGCGTGACCCAAATTGTGATCCTATAATGCTGAGCACAGGCGTCTTATTGGCACACCCCATGTTTGCAAGCTGTAAAATAGTATAAACATGAGAATTGATGATGCTGGTCTCACCTTCACCTGCAGTCCTTTGTGCGCGATCCCTGCGCCTAGGCGCAGTTCACCTCTGGCTTTCACGCGGCAAACCCCAATTCCAAGATCCCTGCGATGATGGACTACACCGACTCGTCGAAGCCGGTCCGGGTCTTCGAGCCATGGCTTCAAACGAGACAGCCATGGCTTCTTTCCTGCAGGAAAACGGGGAGAACAAAACTGATTTGACTTGCAACATGGTTTAATAACGTCTTCATCGTCACCGTCCAAGGAGTCAGGCTCCATTTTGCTCTACTTGGCCGACAAGTTCGACAAAGAAGGGCGCTTCTTTCCTAAGGCGGAGGTTCCCAATTCCTTTTCCTCTAGGACTTCATACATTTTTGCTAATACTTTAAACCTTGTCCTTGTCATACTTTATCTATTTTCGCCGGAGTGATGTAGATCAGAATATGAGGCAGCTTCAAGCCCCAACAACTGCTAAACAGCGCTTGATTCGCTTCAGGAATATCCCGCCCGTGCAGAGTGTCAAAACTGGCTCATGTGGCAGATGGGCACCGCGCCCTTTCTCGGAGGAGGCTTTGGACACTTCTACCACTACGCACCAGTGAAGATCGAATATGCGATCAACCGGTATGCCATGGAGACTAAGAGGCTTTTTGATGTACTGGACAAGCACCTAGGAGAAGGCGACATTGAACTGTTGAAGCCCCGATGCTGTGAATCCTCAGCATTACCCGCTGGGCCCTCATGTTGATGATGCATTTTGCGATAGAGTCCCTCCGTGCTTTTCCTTCTTCCACATGCAATGTGCCCCTGCCAGGAAACAAGAAGTACGTGTGTGGAGACCAGTATACCATTGCCGACATGGCGATTTTCCCCTGGATCGCAGGCTTTGTTGATGGCATCATCTATGGCGAAGCCCAAGAGTTTCTGCAAGTGAAGGACAGTGCCAGACGGCCGGGGCCTGTGGAATCATCTACTCATAGTCCCAGGTTTGGAGGGTCTCCGGAGGGTCTCCCTGTAGACTGCACACAAAATCCACGAACCCGGAGTATTTTATGATAGTCAGTCAAAAGTATACATCGTCGTATCATCATCATATACCCTGAAATAAAAGGAGGACGTTGAACAAAGTATACTGAAACATACTCAAAAAATGCATTCATGCTCAAGCACGAGCTCATCCTTGTCGTGCCATGACTAAAGAATGCCAGGTTGTTTGATCGCTGCTGGCGTGTGGGCAGAAGCACCCTAAAGTACAGCTCGCAACTATGGCACTGCAATGTGAATGTGAGAAAGTCTGCGCTCTAGCCGTGCTATTTGTGCACATTCAGATTCTGCCCGGTCTACGACAAGGCAGCGTGCGGTTTAGCAGCGTTGCCTTACGCCTAGTTTCTCCAAAGACTAGACCCATGCCTGTGTAGTCTCCGCCTTGTAGCCTTAAAGGAGAACTCTGCTGAATCTTTCAGATCCATGCAAGCTTCAGCCTCACAAGGCGTTTCTCCGTTCGTGTTTGTAGGGAGTGCAGATTTCAGCACAGTGATTTCCTCTGTCGCATGTAGACACTTGGACGAACGCTCTTGAACTTGAAGTTGATGCAAGCCAGCGGGCAGCGTCGCCCAAAGAGCGCAAGGGCGTCGCCCCAAAACCGCTGTTCATGGAGCGCCCTGTCATACCATCACCAATGGAGGTCGCAATCTCGGACTGAAGGCGGGCTGAGGGCGGGCTCAACGGCGCTGTCCGTTTCATGCCTTGAAGGCCTTGCCGACCTGCGCTGCAAAGACGAACGCCTTGGAAGATTGCCAAAGAAGAATTCACGCCTCAACTAACTGTTAGCTACCTTTCATGTTCACTGACCTGGCAATGGATGCGTCTTGGATGCGTCTTGGATGCTTTGAAGAGCTACTGATGCTCCTCGGAGGGTTTCTGGAATTCTAACATGAATTATCCTCCACTCCACGAAGGACGAAACCAAAGCCCTGCACCTGCAACGAAAAACTGATCGCCGCTGTCCCACCGCGTTTTGCATCGAGATGATGCGTGGAAAGGCGTATTTACATGAATTGCGCACATACGCACTGGTGTATTGATTGTACATAAACATGTGTTGAAGCGGGTGAATGTGTGTATATGTAAACATTCCCAGCTTCAGTGGGTGGAAACCCAATGCATTGACCTTGCGCGCCCGTGTGGGCCAACGAATGATAGGAGTACAAACATCTTTGCGCCTGGTCCAAGCGCATTGGAGACCGCGCCGCGGTGAAACGTGGAGTCATGGTGAACCGGGCCTGGGGCGAGAAGTCCAGCCAGCTCCACAATGGACATGCGCGCAGCGATTTTCAATCTAAGACGCAGGCACGTTCTTTGAACTCTGTTTTTCACAGCAGTGCAAGGTTTGTTGCGATGCTTTTGAATTTTGATTGGTTGCATCGGCAAATATGCATCATGGATTCATGCCGTTTTGGAACTTTTGGTCTGTTGGATGCAGGACAAGTTGGAGGCGAAATGACCCTTACCCTTCACGCAGCTGAAAAGGGCGCATGGTGGTTTCCTCCAGCTAGACTGAATGTGGACATGGACAAACATATCCTTGAACACATGTTTTAGCATGGGCGGGCCAGTCTCAAAATGGCCCACCCTCAGCGGGTGTTCAAACACATAATGACGAGCCATGTTTCGCCTGACTAAAGACTTGATGACAGGTTTGGGAGAACCAAAGAATGACATGGTTGGGATCATGCAACGAGCACCTCAGACCGACCTTCAACAGGATCTTGGATCATCCATACACTTCATCTGTGAAAACAAATGCAGCAACTAAAGTTGCAGGGCGAGCCCCCAAAAAACATGATGACGCGAGTGGTTTCATGTCGTGAAACTTTCAACCATCCTTCAGGGAATAATGAATAATGCACATTTGGTATGGTTGTGTTTTCCTCTTGTAGTTTTTGTCAATTGACAGGGTGACACTGACAATTGGACATTTGTTTCTTCATGTTCTTTCTCCTCAGGTAATCTTTGTCCGGATGGCCGGTGGTGGCAACTGTACTGAAAGCGTCATAGTAGATCGAACGAGCGTGACTGTGGAATGTGAACATCATCCATGCCTTATCTCCTGCTGGGATCTGCAGGGTATTCTACTGTAAACCAACTTACATGGAGACTCCTGACCCCCTGGATGGCATGATCCAGGTCTTTCTTCCTGAGCCCCGAGAGATGTTTTCTGCGAAGATCTTTGCGGTGCGGGCCGAAGCTGCAATTCATTTTGTTGGATTGTTCGCAGCGGTGGAGCAATTGCCTGAGGTTGATTGCCTGGAAGAAGAGCAGACATATGATGTGAGACGTCATCCCTTAGAAGTATATACTGTATATATATTATTTAACTTATGTATTTTTGAAAGATCTCCAGGAAACAACATGTTGGGTTCATAATCTCCATTTCCTACAACCTTCATTCTCCAGTCAAGGTCAAAGTGGCCAACACTGGGGAGCTTCAAAGTATGTCCATTTTGTTGTGGCTTCAACCTACAACGCAGTAGTTCACATCTTTTTAGTTGCAGGGTATAAGATCCAAAACTATCCACAGGGCTAGGGCTAGGGCCTGCATTTTCTGCCAAAGAGTGCCATCTCGTGGTGGAAATCTCCGAGCAATGATCACTGCCTGCAACACTCAAAGACCTATTACCTGAAAACATATTTAATTTTTGGAGGGCCTTCACAGGCTATCTTTGGTCTTGGAAGCTTTGTGGTAACACAAGATGTCTATGTTGTTTCGTATTAGTTATGTATGAAGAGCTCCTTTTACTTTGAGACATTCAAGAGTTTCATTTAGCTTGGCACTGCGCACTCCAGCAACCCACCTGAGAAACCATCAGTCCTTTCGTGGGCTTGAGTGCTTGAGTGTATTGTTCACTGTTTTTGAGCCCCTAGAAATCCTTCACCCGCGGAGGCCTTGTATCTGGCTGGAAGCTACGAAGCTTGGGAATTGCCGGGACACCAATGCTTTGAGTCTCACATTTGTGTCTTTTTTCATTCGATATTTGTTTGTTGCCTTCCGCCTTCCCTGCAGAGTAGATGGCCCTCACCTTGGAAGGGTGTCCATCCCCTACGGTTGACATCTACTCCGAGAGGTCTCAATACAGATCAAAACAGACCAAACTGGATACTACTGATGTCCCAAATATTCAATACGACAGGCCTGATGGTTGCCCTGATGGTTGCTGGAATTGTTGGTGCAACCTGATCTTTGCAACACATTTGGTGGGAAGACAAAAAGCCACACATGGCCATACTGCCACAGCCATTTTTGATCTTTGCTGACACGCAAAGCACTTGATGTAGGAACAAGGACGCTACTAGGAACAAAGGGCATCGCTACTAGGAGCGATCGGACGCTACTAGGGGCTCCTGGCATTACTACCGGAGCGATCGGACGCTACTAGGAGCAAGATTAGAAAGATTGCTTAGCACTCGTTGACTCGCCGTAGACCCTGTGAATCTTGCCTCTCTAGAGGCCCTTGCCAGAGACCGAGTCTGGCTGGCAGTGGGAGGAGCTGCGTGCCTGCGCCGGTGGAAGCACCGAGAAGCAACCCCACTCTTGGAGATGTTATGGGCAGGAGGAAAGCCTTGCAAAGTTGTGTGTTTTTTTGGGTGGTAGAGATACGGGGATGCTCTAACCAGGACCTCGCTTTCCAGGAAGATGTTTTGTACTTGTGACAATTACTCCTGACAATAGCATGATAGTCTACAACGCCTATGCTCGCCAGATCAAGAAACATGTCAGGTGCAAAAGCTATCCAGATCATGTAAGTTTCCCAAATTCTACAAGTAGTTCCCGGGCAAGCCGGTGGCAGGCTGATTCGCCGAGCTGCGATGTTTTTTGACAAAACAAGTTGGAACCGACCAATGGAGTGAAAGCGAAGCAACCACCGGCAACTGTCTCGCAGGAAAAAACGTTGTTCATGCATTTTTGCAAAATACTAGAGATGACTCAGCCGCGTACTAAAGTTGTACTACAAAGTCGCCAGTTCTCAGCTTCCAGCTCCACGGCTTGCTCCGCGTACTAAAGTTGTACTACAAAGTCGCCAGTTCTCAGCTTCCAGCTCCCAGATTGCTCCGCGTACTCAAGTTGCACTACAAAGTCGCCAGTTCTCAGCTTCCAGCTCCACAGATTGCTCCGCGTA